CTAAAGGAGAAATTTTTTACCTAGAGAAAGTAAGGACAGTTGTAATTAACTATCCATTTTTAACTTACATCCACTTTCTCAAGCTAAACAAATTTACCTTAAGTCAGATGTTGAGGTTGAGATGTTGTCAGAGATTAACTCTCAAATTTTCCCAATCCTTAAAGATGGAAGTTGATAGAATCCACAAATGGTCGCCTTTATGGTTATTTTAGGTTGGCACTAAGAATATATGATGGCACGAATCTCAGAAACTAACTTAAAACATGTATGAACTAGATCTGTCAAAATTAGTCCGAGAGCGATTTGTTATGTATTTCCCTCGGGTTTTCACTAACATGCTCTCACATATCGCACCAATACAACCAAACGTGAAAATCTCTATTAGACGCGTTCGTCGTTTGTGGGAGTCCTTGGAAATCATCGTGATGACATGGGTTCCTTTGCCACATATCGGGAGAGATCTTTCCATTATTTTTTTCTTAACTTTCATTTCATTATTACATGAATAATTAAATGCTGAGTACGGGTGGACCCTCCAGGGCATCCGATTGAAGCGAAATGGATGGGGAAAGTGGAAATGTCAATTTCCTGCCTTTGACATTTCATGAATAGAAGGTGGGTTCTTCTCCCCACTCATTGGGGCATCATCCTGTTGGATTGTCTGTTTTTGACCGGTTGAATGATCCTGTTGTTGGAAGGAGATTCTCATTTATCCCGTGGATGCACGTGAGCATTGTTGCCCACATATTCATCCAAATCATTTTTGGTCCTTCATACAATGGCAGGGTATAATTAGAGTTTATTAAACTTGATCAATTCGAGGACATTCCATAGTCACTGACAGTTGTCTTGCTGCAGTGAGTGGTAGATCCATATCATCATTTATCACCATCATGTATATAAACGATACATAAGCAAATCAAGTGCCTTTTATTTTGACCCGGTAGTGGAGTCTTCACGCTAGACTTTGGGCCATCAGAGTCGATGTCAATAAGAGTCCCGCATAGCGAAAATGTTTCAAACAAGCAACACGGTTTTTGGATGATTTTTTTATCAGTGTAAGCGGCATCCATTTTTTTTTTACATTAGCATCGAGTGACTTTGATTCGGTAGTGAAGTTTCTAGTATTCGTTTTTCGAAAAAAAATCAACAAATTGCTATTTCAAATGTGTCAGTTAGAGCTTCCATTTCCCGGTGGCTTCCACCATCCCGGGATTCGGAAAATATTTATTTGATATCCCGGGAAATCCCGGGATCCCGGGAAGTCAATAAATATAGTAAATTGTTTTAATATTCGTATGTTTCTAATTTCTTTTAACGATGTTCTGAAATGTATGTTCATCTCTTTAGAAGAATGATTAAAAAAGGAGGTTTTTTCAATACTAGGGACACCAGATTTAACGACATATCTTCATTTTAAAGACATTTAAAATCCTGTGAAGGTATTTTTTCAAGCAGACATTTTGAAGACATTTCATGGTACGTGAAGTTGTTTCAAGACATGCGGAAGCTGAAGCAGACTTCCGATGGATTTTTTTTTAAATTGTAAGCTGGCATATGATGATTTTTGTTAAATAAATGAAGTTTTGATTTCATATTTTAAGCTTCTTCCTGAATATGTTGAATATGAATAATGTAGCCAAAATCGGATATTTCAGAATAAAACTTGATCCAATTGAATATTCACAGGACTTTACGGAAATATTCGATTAGCTGGGGATCTTTTGAATACTTCCTGATCAACGTTCAGTTTTGGGAGAATATCTTCACAATAATACTTGATCAACCTGAAGCCTTGAAAAATATCCAGAGGACTTTATTGAAATCTTCGATCAGCTGGAGATCTTTTATGTACTGCCTAACCGATCTGCCATCTTGAGAGAGCCAATTGAATGTTTGACCAGTTTAAGATCTTCAGATTTTCTGATCAATCTGAATTTACTAATATTTGACCAACCAGTAATCTTGAGAGACTATCTAGAAACGTTATTTGAATTTTACGAACAGTTGAAAATCTTAAGAATAATAATTGATCAACCTGAAGTCTTGAAAAATATCCAGAGGTCTTTAAATCTCCGACCAGCTGTATGTCCTTTAAATACTCTCTAATCAACTTCCGTCTGGGAAGGATGTCTAAAAGACGTCTTTTGAATTTTTGAACACTTGCATATCTTCAGAAAATTACTTGATTAAGTTCAAAAGTCTTGAATACTATCCTGAGATATCATCACAAATCCGTGAATATCAGTTATACGAAGATTCGTGTACTTTCAATAAGTTTCTTGAACTTAAACTCAGTTCCATGTACTCAAAGCCTTTATAAAGTTCCCTGAATATGTAGAATATTCTGCGAAATCCTGGAATTTTTCGTCAACTTCTTCGAAGTTCCTAGTACTTCAAAGGTTTTTCCATAGCTTACATTTTTTTTAATTTTTCGATAGGTACAACTAACTGTTTGCCCAGCTTGCTGAACTTGAAAGAATTTCAAATAATTCATGCAATGTTCCGTAATCATCGTCCACGAAATTGTTTAACATTCTACGAAGTATCCTGAAAATCGATGATGGTCCCTGAACTTTTACGAAGTTCCACGAACTTCTATGAAGTTTTCTGAAATCAAATAAATGTCTCTTGGCGTCTAAGAAGTTCCCTAATGGCACGTGATATTATGTTTGTCAGCCAAATTTCACAATAGTCCGTGCAGATCATGATGATTATGGTGGATAATTTCTCTCATGAATGTATTTGTAAAACATTTTTGCCGTACTTTAGGATTACATAGATTACATACTAAAGGGTAAAGGTAATGCATTAGACTGGCCCACAAAAATAAAAGTTCTAATTTTCCACGGGCCAACCTCTAGATTTGTGCCTTTGGGCGAGAAAACCATTATCGGAAAGTATCAGCACATTTGGTTTTAAGATTAGCTGGCGCTTTTAGTTTGAATTTTGTATGGGGAATTTGGTTAAAATACATGGAAAAATGACTCTCCTACACTCTATCGATCATAAAAAAGTTTGCTTGTTCTCAATTTGATTCAGATTTTCAAAACTTGTAGTTCAAACAATGAGTAACAACCTTGCTGAAGATTACATCACTAATCCAGTTAGTTTTATTGAATGTATATGAGCATTTTGTATATGAAAATTTCAACCAAAACTCCTATATGAACACTAAACCAAAAGCCCCAGTCCGTGTAACGTCAAAAAGAGCTGAAACATTCAGAGTGTGGTTATCTCACCTACTGACACGAGTCAGGATGTTGGCCTGTTGACAATATTAACTTTTATTGTTTTAGTTGTAATCTAGTTGATACGTTTTATAAGCTGCCTGTATTTTGTCACAATATACGAACAAAATGCACATATAAATTCAAGAATGAATATATCGATAATACTTACTTGAATCATGATACTGTCTTCAGGAAAGTTGTTTCTTATAGTTTAAGCTACGTGTGCTGAAATTCTGAGCTTAATCGAATTTGCTGAACCAAATGCTGCTATGCACGAAAGAGTGGAGAAATGTTATTTCTCCATACATTTCAACCAATATCCCCATATAAATTTTAAATCAAAAGCGCCAGCTCGTGTTGCATCCGAATGAGCTGAAATTTTCAGATAGTGGTTTTCTCACCTAATGGCACAAATCTAGGGGTTGACCCGTTGAAAAAAATGTTAAAAAATTTCCCCCATATAAATGTGGGACAGTCTAGTAATGCATACCTTTCAACGTAACATAGCCAACATAGAAGTCGGAGACATATAGAAGTTCGTCCAGAAGGAGTAAGCATTTTACAAGCTTCCGCTCGCTAATCTAAGAAAGGACTCTAAAAACTGCAAATACTGAGTCTTTTCATCAGTTGAGACTAGTACTACGTACTTTCAACCATCTTAACAATGCATTTCAATGGTTTTCGATCAACTATGAATGATGGACAACTCACGACACTCAACCTGATTGAATCAAAATGTTCACGGTTTGTTTCACTGCTAGATCCTATTTTTCACGAGTGCTTCTTGTACAACGATCATATACAAAAAGTGATGTCTGTGTGCAATTCTTTCGAAAAATCAGAATGAATGGCAAACGAAGGGAGAAGATATATATTCCATAAGATGTGAAAGTTCTGGATTCAAATTCTGCTACAGATATTCCAAGAAAGATTTAAAGTGGTAAAAGGATTTTTAAATTAATTTCCCGGGATTCGGGAATCCCGGGAAATGTAACAATCCCGGGATTTTCATCCCGAGACATCCCGAGATGAAAGCTCTAGTCAGTGCACTTCAGTCCGTCGACTCTGGAAACAATCATGTTTATTTACTTTGCTCGTTTGGGACTCGGGACACGGAGATGAAAAACTACTCAAAATTAAGTACTTTTCCCTAGATTCTGGGGTTCAGCCCAATAACCCAAATTTAAGTAAATCGCATATAGTAGTTTCCATTTAACACCAGCAAAAAAAAACTTACTCTTAAGTATATTCTACCCTATATTAAGTTTAATTCACGTAAATTTGAGAATATGCAATTTACTCAAAAGTAACTAATTGGGCTGAACTTTTTTGACAACAATAACGAGTGTAAGTGAGAGGCTGAACTCAATATTAAGTAAAAATAACTCAAATTTTGGGTAGTATTTTTTCGCCATGTACGATTTAACGGTAGCTCGGAAATGGAAATGCTCGTTCGTTTCCAACTTTTATACAAATTTTCAAACCACCGTGTCCTAACGGAACTATCAATTCTGTACTTTCATCACTTTTTCTAGAATTTCACCGTAAGTCAAATGGCGATTTTTCCATTTTACCCAGATTTTTTTCTGATATTTTGCACTAGTTACAACAAGCTTGGTTTTATTTGAACATCGAAAAAAGGAAGATAAGGCCGCTTAAGAAAGCGTTGGGTGGAAAGTATCTCTTTCAACTCCATACATTTCGGTTTCCAAAATTGATAAATTTGTCAACTTCAAACCAGCAAAAAAAAAGCAAAATCACACTCACCTCTAAATTTTTTATTCTTATCCAAAGTTATTGTAATCGTTCCGCTGACGGTATCTCCCGGCCGATACACTCCCGAAACATTGTTATCGAATCGGATATTGCACTTGACGTGTTTGGAGTCCTTCGTTTTGGCAGTCATTCCGGTGCGATTATAAGGGGCGTCCGAACGGTTCGGGCTTTAGTACAATACTGGACTGACAATTTTTCGGCCAGTTGCTTGTCTATTCATAACGGATGGACTAAATTTGTTTATGCTTATCTAGTGATAAGTCTAGTGCGTTATCAGTGAACGTGGGCTCTGCTTTTTTTCGGAAGGTAGATAGATAGCTGACATCGCACTGTATGTAAGCTAACTATACTCTCAAATTGATTACTGAAGGTCGTTGTATTGAAAATAATAGGGACTGGACGAATCGGAAATTTAGAAAATTCCTTTGGTATGGGTTCAACCGTATCAGTCTGGGCAAATATCGGTTGTTTCCTCTATGAATCACCTGCTGTCTCACAACGGGCGCTATCAGCGTTCATTTGATATCCAAAACAGAAGCTTGATAACGGGTTCCGTCTAATCCCGTTTTCGATCATTTTGTGATAAGCAAAGCTGTGCCATATTTCGATAAAATCGGTCGCCAATGATTTTTCCAGAAAAGAATTTAGTTCTTTCACAACTTTCCTCCCAACAATATGTTCCTATTCTAAATCAATCATGCCTAAAGAGAAAGCTTCCAAGCGAATCAACTGCGACATCCGTTTCGACGACAATCCCAATGGAATTTTCAAAGCCGGAGACTCGGCGTCTGGATCGATTAGTCTGACGTTGACTCAAGTGAAGAAGGTTAAAGGTATGTGCAGATGACTCAAAGTCGTTCGATTTTCTATTGCGTTGTACGGTTTGTTTTTCAGGAATATGCTTATTTATAACTGGGTTTGCTGAAACCTTCTGGGACGATAAGGTTCCGCATGGCCCCAAAAACAAGAAAACTAAGGCTCACTTCAAAGGCCATGAGGATTTCATAACGCAAAAGTCCTATTTGGTTGGATCGGAAACTGGAAGCCCGATTGACCTTGTCACGGGTACTACGCATTACTACTTCCGGTTCAAGGTTCCATCAACGGCTCCCACCTCGTTGGAAGGAAAGTACGGTCATGTAAGGTATTTGGTGAAGGTCACTCTTGAACGACCTTGGAAGTATGACCAGAACTTCCAAATGCCGTTCACTGTGCTGGCTAAAACGGATTTCGACGAAAGCAATCCAAACCTTAAGAATCCGGTGAAAAGGGAAGACCAGCTAAGATTTTACTGTTGGATTTGCAAATCTGCACCGTTAATGGTGAAGGCATCGGTTCCCAAGTCCCTGTACGTTCCTGGTGAATCAATTGAAGTACAACTGGAAGTGAACAATCTTAGCAAGGAGGACGTTTCCGAAATCATAGTAAAGTTTCATAAAGTGATCAAGTTCATGAGCCAAGTCCAGGTGATCGAAAGTACGCAGCTGTTTGCCGAAAGCAAACTGGTCAGAAATGAGACGCTCGAAATTCAGAAAACACTTCCGGTGGCCAGGCTAGCTAACGAAACTTTCCAGAAGCACTTCCTGGTGGGCCCGATCACGCCGACCGAAGACCGACATAGCAAGATCATCAAAATCGGCTACGAGATAGACATACTGGTAAAGCCTAAACTATCGACCCAGAGGATACGCCTCACCATTCCGATTGTGGTCGGATCCGTTGGATTGAAGACGGAGGAAGTGCTGGAAATTGCCAGATCCTCGGGGGTCGCCAAGTTGGCGGAGGGCTTAAATCGAGATGAACCATCCGCTCCACCGCCACCGTATGCTGAAAATGAGCCGAGTTTGTACCCGTTGGATTCTTTGCAGAAGGCCTATGAACGGGAAAGCAGCAGGGACGACTGAGAGCGGTGATATATAAGTGACTTTTTTATTATTTGATACATAATTATTGCAAAATTATTTAACCTGTGTATTGGATTTGAAATTTCTGATAAATATAATGTAAAAAACGTTAAAAATACAGTTTCAGTTCCTAAAATTTAGAACTAAAATAAGTTTAATTTATATTGATTTATCTTTTATGATTCATAATGCTTTTAATTAAAATGTATTGCCAGTTTTATGTAAAGTAGGGGTGAAAGTGAGCAACCATAATATTGTCACAACATGCATGAATGCGTCTCTTCTAAACTGAAACAAAATATCACGCAGGAATTTTCCTTAAGTGAGGTTGACTCTAAGGATATCGAAAAAACATGCTTACTGCTCAAGCCCGTGGTAAATCTTTCGGACATACGAGAAAAAGAACGTATTTGCACACCAAAAATACACTTTATTACACGAACACTAAATTACATTCATTACGGTAAAGGATGGAACGCGACTTCCGCGACGGTGTGTTGTTACTTCGATTTTCGTAAATTTCACAATTTTCAGACTTGGGAGGAGCTTTAGTGCAAGAATGTATTAGCTAGAGCAAGCTCTGAAGCGGATGGATTGATAGTTCCGCTAGAGTATGGCAGTGTAAAAAATGAATGGAAGTTGAAATTGAGCGAAGGGCCATTAATGCGACAATTCTAATCAAACGCACGCTCCTTTACCTAGATCATACATTGATGGATGAGGAAATTTGAGGTATGTCCTCAAATCCACAGACCTGCATTTCCTCCCAACTCTGATAATTTTCAACTACTTTTTCCAAGGGACGTATCAGCTTTTGTAAACAATGCATTTGATAGTCGTTTTGGCGTAACTGGTAACTCGTCCACGCATGCTAACACTACCATCAGATAGGGGAAATTTACCCCTACATTATAGCAATGTTAGTATGCGTGGGCTAACTACCAGTTACGCCAAAACGACTCTCGAATGCATTGTTTACAAAAGCTGATACGTCCCTTCGAAAAAGTAATTGAGAATTGTTGTTTGCGATCGATCGTCAGCTGTGTGTATATAGGCATCAAGAGAGGTCCGGCGGGAGAGATTCTCTCTCATACTTAGTTTTCTAGGGATGCACATTAGAATGGTAGTTTGGGGTGTTAGAAACACCCTGCACGCTATGTCTCAAGGCAATTTTTTTGTAACATTCATGTACCTCAGATTTTCCTTGACAGGATGTTAGTATTTACCTAACCATCAAATCTGTGATGGTTTTAAAATATTTCATCTTGGGTTTTTTGAGAAAAAAGTGTTTTGAAGATAACAAAGGCGTAAAGGGTGTACCGTTTAAAATCCGCACACACAAAATTCATTCTCAAAATTCGAGTTATTATCCGATTATCACCAAATTTTGACGTTTGTTTTCTTTGTCACGTTTGAATATTTGGAAAAATTTAAAATTAATAATTTATTTGTGATAGCTTGCCTGTGACCTAAGTTATATTTATACTTGGGTGCTGATCCGGTCAACAACTACCATAGATGGACCTGGATTCGATTGCCCGGTTCTGGGTCGCCACCATAACCTAGCTCGGAGCGTTTGGTACGGTATGTCCACTAGAGTGATGCAAAATTTGAAATTTTCGCTCCACAATACTTAAACGATTTCAAATCCCCATTTGGTGAGAAACTGAGATGACACAAACCATTAGAAGTTTGTATGGGAATTACTATGGTAAAACCAAGATTTTTGTTCATGTTTATCTAATAATTCACCATATCGGTCTACTTCAAAAGCTTTCAACTGTACTGGTAGGAAATTTTCCCAGCTACAACTTTGTTCAAGACCACTTTTTGATTAAATACAAGGATCGAAAGTTATCAATGGTTCAATGCACTGATGTCTTATGATCATGCTCAATCAACTGCTCAGCAGGCAACATTGGTGTTTCTGGGGCGTTGAATAGGACACAAAAATCATGGCTAATATGTCACACTGCAAAATACAGTGTTGCCTACAGAGCAGCTGCTTGATCATGTCATAAGTTTACCAATCTCTTAAATAATCAATAACTTTTTCCTGCCTCGTTTTACATAGAAACGATCTTCAGCAAAGTTGTAGCTGAGAAAATTATCTATAAGAATGGCTATCAAACTGTTTCGCAGCTCATTATGGAAAAAAGACTAGAAGGCAATGAACAAAAAGTTGAGATTTCCCATAGTAATTTACATGCAAACTTCAAATGGCTTGTGCGAAGTCTGTTTCTAACCAAATGAGTTGTAACTTTAGGAGGCTAATCAGGACCCAATTTGAAACCATTTGAGTACTGTGGAGCGAAAAAGTCAAATTTTGCATCAGTCTAATATCCACGCATCCTTCCACTCCTGAAGATTCACGAAATGCATCGCTGTTTAGATATACCATGCCAGCACCATATTTGACGCGTTCCTTATGATGACGCACTCGTCTATTTTGACAAGATATTTTTTTAAACCTTGTAACACCATCATCCCCCTAGAGCACTGAAACTAATATTTGCAAAAGTAACATTTCAAAAATAATTATTTAAAATAGTCGAACGTCATGGAATGCTTCGATTTAGCAACTGCTTCGAATATGGTGCCTCCACGGTTCATTTGAACTCGATTCCTTTCACAGAATAGACACCACTCACCACCCCTCTCCGAAGGGGGAATTTGGTAAAAAGAGATGATAAAACCAATTTGTACCTTCCTAAAAAGTTGTCCTAGCTCGCTGTCTACTCTCTATATGCAATTTTCACACTGCCGTACTCTAAACGGAACTATCAATTCTATACTTTCATCTCCTCCTCATAAACATTACCACTTTAGTCTGTTATTTGAAATAAGCATCTTCAACTATGTAAATCGTTGACTTCACGCAGAAGTAATACTAAACATATAGTCAAAGTACATTGTTTAATTATTTTATTAATTTAAACATTCTGAGATCATGACATTGTTGCCATATCTGACGGTGCTGAAGAGGGAATCTTACTGCTTCATTAAAACTTAGTATTTTGACAACTTTAATTCCCTTTTGAATCATTTTCAGTTGTATTTGTTTCGATCCGTATACGCCTTTGTAAACAGCTAAGTAATCTTCAAAACACTTTTTCTCAAAAAATCCAAGATGAAATATGTTAAAACCTTCACAGATGTGATTACTAACTTCCTGTGAAGAAAAAACTGAAATACATGAATACAATAAAGTGCCCTGCCAAAATTTGAAGTCCTTTGGTTCACGGGAACACCTCGCTCAAAGGGCTTAAAGATTGTATAGGAAAAATTGACAAAATGTATGGGGGAACGAGCCCCTTTCACATTCGCGGCTCGAGGTTGCGCTGTAGTTGGTCGATTTTCTTCGTGTATAAAATGTAGAAATATTGGGAACATCTTGATATGAATCCGGGTTAACTCCGAAAAGTTATTAGCGTTTCAAATGAACATCAACTGCCTTACTTTTGGTGAGGGCCTAACGCGCTTTGTGCGGTGTTCTTAAAATTGGATCAGTTTGGCTAAGTGGTTCCGGTTTTGTTCCGGGTCTCCGAGAGGCCATCGAGGGAGAAATGGTATCAGTCGTCTAGAACTAGGTGATGCTGGAAATCCGCAGCAACAGGCACATACGAAAGTGACCCCGTTGGTTTCAGTACCACTCCAGGACAACATTTGAATAGTGGCACGAAGTTAGATCCGGCCAGAAGATCGTAGGGCCCTCGTGTTGCTTCAACAGAGGAAGCAGACGCTTCTATAGACAGTCCTTGAGGTAGATCTCCGCGTTTACTCTCCCGGCAGTCACGAACGGCACACTCCGTTTGCCACATGAGCAGATCGCTTACCAAATCATGTATTTCTTGGCAAACTTTGAAAGTTTCTGCTTCCTTACTTCCTCCGGAATATCAACCTTGTGCTGGACGGTGAAGAACAGTAGCCCCGGAAGCTGCCGGAAGTCCGCCTTGACGTAAGTCTCATCATCCATGATGAGACAATGAGGCGTCGTCAGCATCTGGGTGTAAAGTTTCTGGGCCCGTGACTTTTCCACCGTATTTTGCCGTTCGTCACGATTTGGAGCCTTCTGCACTTTGTATGCATGCAGTCCCTTCCGGTCCTTGGCTCTCTGAAGGAAAGACTTGGACAGATTCAACATTGGGATTCCGCTTAAACACTTTCACGACTCGCTTGTGATCCTGATCACTAATAGAACATCCATTCTGACCGCATTTCTCCTTCCGTTCGATACTCAGAGTTTTGTAGTAACGTTTAATCACACGACTCACCGTTGACTGCACGATTCCGAGTTGTTTTCCGATGTCCCGATGAGAGAGTTAAGGCCCACGCACATTAGATTTGGATCGAACGCGTTGCGGTAAAATGACAGCTATTGTCTAACTGTCAAATTAACGTCAACGCAACGCAAACGGATCTAATGTGGGTGGCCCTTTAAGGATTTTCCAGGTGCTTGCGCAAAATCCACAGCGATAAAAATACAGTGTAAACAATACACTCTAAACTACTTCTACCCAAATTTTCAAGAGAAATTAGCCAATGGATAATTTTCTACAGCGTTTTTTTTCCGTGATGCAATTTTATGTGGGACACCCTTTATATTTGCTGGTCAATGTCATCTAGTGGTCATCAAATTGATTGCTGCGTAAATTTGATCAAAGTATGCCTTGATTTTTTCTCTGAATTTATATGAAATGTGGGAAAATTGTGTTTGTTGATATATTAGCTGGTCATTGACTCCTAGTGGCCACCGGAAGATGCGGAACATCCGTACAATTGGTTGCTATTCTTTAGTATGCCTTGATATTGATGATTAAAGTAGATACGCAAATTAGCAAATCCAATAATTTTCGTATTTTTTTTTAATGAAAATTTTCAAAAACGTTCCTCATGACCAAAAATGCAATTTTGCATTTGAAGATCACCATTTTAAATAAAGCCTTTATTTTGAATAGGGCATTTTTCGGCTTATAAGCTTATTTTCAGAAAACTGTTACTCGAAAAA